GTATTCTAAGAAATCAATCAGTAGACTACATTTTCTAAAATATATATATGTATATGTATATGTATATATGTATGTGTATTAAGATTATGCTGAAATTATCCTGTCTTGATGATTGTATTCTATTCATTTGGATTAAAATAGTTAAGTTTTATTTTTTTATTATCTTAATATGTCATCTGTATACTTTAAAGTAATACTAATTTTTCTAAATTTTCATCCAAATGGAGAATTCTAAGATTCAAGAATCTTAGAACTGTTTGCTAGTAAAGAATTCATATTATGGGACCCCCATAATCAGACTGTAATTTAAACACCCTGATAATCTCTGCTTGCCTTCAGAGAAGAAACTTTTTCTATAAAATAATATGAAGGTGAAGGAATTTTTTAAAAAAAAAATGCTTATTTAAAGAAATCATAGATATGTTTACTAATAGAACTTTCAATTATTTTTTAATTGAGAATTTAAGCTATAGTTGTATTTCATCAATATCTCTATCATATCTTAACTATATCTCATCTTTATCTGCTGGTATAACTTTTTGCAATACATTAATATTTGCATAATTTGCACAATTTATAATATATTTATTGCAACTGCAATAATACAATGTGTTGATATTGTGCACTTTGTCATGTGCAATGTAAATATTGCAAAGATGATACACATTTAAACAATATTTTAAAATTTTAAAAATCTACAAGAAAAAGTGATAGTGAAGAGATAGTGAAATAAGCTATTTAGTTTTAGAAGAGCTAGGGAAATAAGCTATTTACTTTTTTCTTAAAACTCTAAGGGAAAATAAAAATAGTAAGACAGATAATACATAGATGATACATTTTGACACTGAATCATAGATCCATACCCACAAAGTACCTATCTTTGTAGACATAGAGAATTAAATGATAGCTAGCTGGTTACATTTTTCATATGATTTTATACCACATAAAAATCTTACAAGAGGTTGTTTGTATCAATATATTGAAGGAGGGTTAGTATGATGAAAGAGGAACAGGGGTGAGGGAAAAGTTAGGGTGGAAAGCAACGTGCACACACACACACAGTTTTCATGATAAAACTAATACAGAATATACAACCCTATTTATTTAAATAATGGATTTAATTTGCATGCTAAATATAGAGAAACAAATTTTATTTCTGTTATTAAGTGATCTCATTTTGTTTGACTTTTTAGGATAAACATACAATGTTTATATACAAACTTAGAACAACATTTTAATTAAAAAAGAAAATAAACAACTAAATGTTATTATTAAATTTTCATTCTGTTTGAAACATATTAAACACATAATATACCCTTCCTCACTAACTATTCTGTGCTTTTCCATGCTCTAATAGACACAAAAATTACTCTGACTACACGGATTTTTAAAACATAGCTTTCTTTAATGCAGGTATCTATGACATTTTGTGATAAATTCCTTTCAAGAATAGATACTAGCAAATTCTGTACAATCATTTCTAAGTGTTATCCATAGGTGAAAAAGACTTTAAAATATTTTTAAGACTCATAAATAGCTTACAAATTGATATGTTTCTCTGTGCTCATCACTAATGAGAATTCATTCTAAATCAGGGTACATATTTCTATATTTATATCATTGCTTGAAACATTTCCTTAACAGGATGAATAATTTAGATATCATTTTATACTGATCAAAACTTGAAGACAAGGCAACTCTCAATTGTTCTCTAATATTTCATTTAACTTTGGCCATCGAGGCTTGAGTTCTGGTGCACTCTGTTAAGGATAGGTAACGAAAGGAAGCTTTCATGGTATGCTATTTAAGAAAATGGCTGTTGAACTAAAATTGTTTTTGGGCTTCCCTGGTGGCATAAGGGTTAAAGTCTCAGCACTATCAAACTATTACCAGCCACTGCAGCCTGAGTTCAATCCCTGGCCAAGGAGCTGAACCACATGGTGCAGCAGACTTCTCCTGTGTCAATGTTTCTCCCCTCAACAGTGTATTTCAGTCAATCTGCCTGTTCTACTCTCACTCTGTCTCTGATGACTCCTCTCACCCCAACTTCACCTCTGACCTGTACCCCTGTTCTTTTATGTATCAATCAATCTTAAAAGCAAAACAAACAAATAAACAAAAAAACTTGTTCTCTACTCTTAGTTCTCTCAACTGCCAAATGATCAATGATGGGATTGGCATTGATGGCTTATTTGGGAGGGTGGGGAACATTTACAGTGTTTGCTTTATTTCTAATGATAGTTGAATCTTCTGGTTATAGAAGCAAGTCTTTGGTGTTTGTTTGTTGAGGGATTTTTATAACAGTGGCATGCAAGCACAATGGCATCCAGGCTTTCCAGGTTTGGCTGGGAAGGAAGGGGTAAACGATCCTGACCAGGAACATAGATGCTTTCAATTTCAGGGTGGTCCTGTGAGTGTAGTCCTAACTAGAGGTCTCCCTCCCTGCTGCCCCAGTAAAATGCTCAGGTATGGACAAGCCCCTTCAAATCAAGATAGATCAATCGCATGCTTAAAATGTCATTTGATTGTAAAGTTTATTTGCTATGTCTTCCATTTCTAGATTGTACTTTAGTGCAAGATGAACTGACATTATATTTACTTTTGTTTTGAAATTTCTTTCCTCACCTACAATTGTATAAATTAGTATTTATAAGTTGCCCCAGAATAGAGCATTCTATGTATCAGTGATACATCAAAGTTGTTTGAACAGTATTAAATATATATTATTTTTGCATATGAAATGTAGTATATTCAAAGATAAAAGCCCTTAAGACATGCATGGTGTGTGTGTGTATCTGTACACATATTGCAATAAGGTACACACCTGAAGTACCAAATGACTAGGACAAGTTCATTTGAGCTAATGTAATTTTGAAAAGAAAAAATAAATATTTTACATTAATGTTAATGAATTTTGAAGTCTAAGTGCATAGGAAGAGAAAATATACTTCTGTTACTGTAAATAATGATTAACATTTCATGCAAACCTCTTTGTTAGATATTCAAAAACATCATTCTAAATCTAATTGAGATATAGACTGCTATTTATGTTTCAAAACTCACAGATATAAACTTCATATAAAAGAATTTTCCATAATTCCAATGTTTCAATTATTTGTTTTCATTGCTTTAAGTTATTCTGACAAAAGAAGAATCCAAGGAGACTCCTGAAATAGTAACCAATTTTTACATAGATACACTCCCTCTACCTCTTTCTCTAGGAATAAAAATAACTTCAAATCAGGTAAGTCAATGCTCTGTTGGATTGTGAATTCCACAGAAGAAAATCTTTACTACAGTTGAATTTCAGTGGGAAACGAAATGTATGCAGCTTCAGGGATTTAAAGCTTTTATTTGTGACTATTTACCTTAAACTATGATAAAATATTTTGTTTGGTTCCTTCTTCCTACTTTACATAAATTACTTAATCTTAGCATTAACAAAGAGACTTCTATAATATAAACTTTTATTTAAAGAAACAAGTAGACCTGGAAGAAATGAATATAAAGGAGCATGTGAATTTTAAATTAAGTGTCTTTGCCTCAAGAAAACACTCTGAGCCACCATGGAGAATTCGCTAAGCTGATTTTAACCACTTGGATCTATCTAGTTCTGAACAATATGCATAAAACTTTAACCACCTCCCCATTCTTTATGTGTACATGAGCAAAATGAGGTTCACCTTTTTGTCCACTTTCTAGACTTCAAATTCACAATGTTTTAGGAACCATACTACAAGTTCAGTTTCTACTCAGTAGTGTGTTAAATTTTATGTTGGAATATGCCAAAAATGTTTTCTAAGTATTTGTTTTTCCTTTTAGGAAAAAAAAAATCTGTAATGTTCACGACTCAGAAAGTCAACTTTATTATTTACACTTCTCCCCTAAGCTTCACCAAAAGGGAGGGAAAGGTGGCAATTTTATTTTCTATTGTCAATTTTCCCTTGAAGCATCAAATAGGATATTGATATTTTTTGGCAGTTAAGCTATTTACTTACCGTGACTTAACGAGCCACTCTAAGGTAAGCCATATCCCCCCCCTGTGCATTTCATAGAACTATTACTAAAACTTATTTTCAGAAGGATTTATCTACTAATCAATACCTTTCTTATTGTGCCATTTCCAGAAGTACTAAAGTGACTTCTCTTCTGAACAGGGTTTGACTGCTATGGTTTGCCCTGGCTGATAGCTGCACATTATACAGCTGTGAATCTAACAGGTAGGGTCTTCTTCTCTTGTTGTAGGCTTGCTGTGATTTAGGGGAATTTCCAGGAATGATGAAATCCCTGAATTGCGCTAGCAGGTAAAAAATAAAGTGTAGAAATTTGAAATTATACTTGAAATCATTCTCCTCAGTAAAAAAGAACATGTTAGGATGTCAACTATTGTATGGTTTTACTGACTCCCCACCCCCCCAAAAAAAATATTTTCTAAACTCACATTGAATCAGATAAATCATCATTGTAAAAAAAAAATAAAAAACAATTGGCTTCTTTTTGTTTCGTTTTGTAATTTGGGATTTGGGTATTGAATTGAAACAGATAGGAGTGAATTCTGCCGGGACCATACACAAAGTGCCATTTGAGCAACAGCCTTCTATGTGATAGGGACTTTATAAGTCTCACAGGTTACCAGCGTGCTGTGTGACCTTTCCCTCTCAACAGCAAACAAGTTAGGAAGAGCTGATTAACCGAGAGTAAAAGCACTGGATTATTTTCACTAAAGGGGTTTGACAAAGCTCTACTCTCTGAGCCCTCCCACCTCATTCGATTGCAAATCCCTCTGCCTAAAAAGGTGCTTGCTCCCCCAACCCAAACCTGGCGCCCTGCAGCGCCTTCAGCGGCAATATCTTCCTATGTGAGGGACGTGTCTTATTAATCAGAAACGCTGAATGGAAACCAATCAGATAGAGTTCCTTTGGCTTCAGCTTCCTGCCTGTCTGAGTTAAAAGTGATGCTCGCAGAGGGAGGCACACTGAGATGCATGAAGATTCAGCAGTGAAGCTACTATAAAAAGAGAAGAGAGGCGTGAATCGAAGCCACACTGCGATCGTCAGTGCTGGCCAGGACTAAACTCCGTTCCTTTTGCCGAACAAGGTAAGTGTCATATACCTTGCTTCGCAATATGCACAGTTTAATTTTGATCTCTTATAATGAAGTAATACAAATGCTGTTTTTCTCCTCGTTGCAATATTTTTCTTGTAGTATTCGAATGAGACATTAAAATGCTCAGTGAAAAAAATGCAATGTTGGCTTATTTGACTTTTGAAAACATTGTATACTACTCACATTCACATAAATGCAATATATATATATATATATATAAACTTATCGTATTAGGTGATTTTGGTGTCCCTTTGGATTACAGGTTTATAGAATTCCTGGTACTTTTATAACTTTTGGGTACAAAATTTGAATCAGAAACTGTCAAAAATAATATTTTTCATCATTCGGTGATATATTTAATTGAATATTAACTTAAATATTGTATAAATAAAAAATAGTGAACATAGGATGTAAGGATTAGGGTGATCACTTTACCTGGTGAAGGAGATTTCTTCACATTTTTGTGCTTCTCAGTCAAGTATTCTGAATGTGTAGCTTTGTGGATTATAATTACTCTATTATCATAAGCAAATGTATCTTAATAAAATAAAGAGTGAATGAAAACCACAGGAAGGTGAGTTTCAAAGGCAAAACTTGATGTTTTACTTGAAGTATGTGAAAAATGTAGTGATTTGGATGTAAGATTGCTTCTTCTTTGCACAATCAATAAAAAATTCACATCAATTAAATTGCTGGAAATATATTCATCTCAAAAAAGGACATATGAATTTTAACGATTAGGTTATGAGCATTCTATACCAGCCAATTTAGATACTCTTCACAGTGTGTGTGTGTGTGTTCAGAATCTGTTTTGTATAATAAAGATACATGTAAGAAAAGTGATCAGCTGTAGCACATAGTTTACATTTGTATGATCAACTTTTGACGAGACTGTAAGGGATTAGAGATTTGAGGAGAAATCAAAGTAACTGTCTGGAGACTCTGTTATTTAATAATTTATATTATGGATCTATGAGATTTCTAATAAATATTTTCCACAAGGTTTTTGAAATGTAAATTACGTCAAAAATGATTGTTTCAGTGACAGTAAAATGTGATAACTTTTGTACGGCAGGCAATCTTTATTTGGTTCTGTAGTTTATCTAGAAGTAGGTGATTATATAGTTTCCTCTGAGAGCTAACTAATAAGAATATGATCATCATCATTCAGTGTTCTAATTTGGAAAATGATTGTAATTTATTAACCACCATTTTCAATAGAGGATAAATCCTATGTCAGGCACAGTTTCATTGCCTAGACAATACTATATCAAAACTATACACAATATAGTCCATATTTGTCTAGCTATAAAACTGGTTAATCCAGATTTGAACAACAGCTGGTTGGTGTGGGGAGAAAAACATTCTATTCTAGCATATAGCATAAAGAACTTGGACTTAAAATGAACAGCATACATTTATGGTACTATCACCAAACATTATAGATTTAACTTGTTTTCTTAAAGGAAGATGATGAAATATTGCAGTGAACTTAATAAATATGTGTTGAGATGTTGAAATACTGTCATCTAAATATTTGTTTTCAAAAATGAGAAAAATATAAAATAAAATGTATAGTATGAGCAAATACCAATCATGTATAGAAACTGCTTTATAGCGACCAGATAATATCAACTGAAAAGTAATTCACCAACTTTAAGTCAGGAGATTTGGTAGTACTAATAAAGCAAATCACATAATAGCTACTTTTTAGGTTGGAAAATGTTTTATTCCCCCTGTTATTTATACTATTTGACAGTTTGTAAACAATTTTGAAATGGTTTGCACAGTTAGGACACCATTATTGTATTCACTGCAAAATTGAAATAAAAATGCCTCTTATCAGTGTATATGTGTAACAAGATGACAGTATCAAAATTAAGTTTAAACTGCCTTTTTAAATGTTGTGTTTTTTCACTTAATTGTATGCTATATTAATTGTATGTAGACATTAGCTCTTTGGAATGTTACCTTATATGGAACGATTTCATCTGATAGTTTCCTTTAGGTCCCATATATGTCAAGCTTAGCTGATGAAGTGGCCCTTCTATGGTACATTCACCAAAATAGGATCCAAAATTAATTGGGCATTTTTCTACCAATTTACTGATAGCATCATTAGTGACTTAAGCCCCATACATATTTTCCTACAATATTTTCATCATACATATGTGCATATAAAATTCATGTCATTTATGTGCAAAATCAGGATGCTTTGAATGATACTTAAAATTATGTAACATACTGTATGTGAGTAAATAACTATGTGTCTCATGTAAGAAGTGTAAATTAAAGTAAAATTAAAGGTGAATTTATGAATGTTTTGAATAAATATAGCTATAAGTTCTATATAACAGTGAACAGCCTAGATGGCTAATTATTTAGTTTAAAGGCAATGGATTGACAGCTTGTTATATTTTTAAGACTAATTTTGTGCATCCAAATGGAAATTTTAAAATGAAGTCTATATAATTCTAGCATATGAATAAAATGCAGTTTATACTTTAAGAAAAGTAAAAAGCTATGTTTTAAAGATTTATAATTTTGACTTTAAACACATATATGCACAAATAAGTACACACATTACATGTGATACACATATGTGCATATGTATACCCATACTTGTCTGAGCATATATAGTCATATATTATTATATATGATATTAGCTGTAGTAAGTTAGTTTATGGTAAGGTACTATACTATAAAAACTCTAGTTAGGTTCTGAGCATTTTACTTCTAAAATAATCTAGATAAGTAAAATTAAATTTTCTTAAGAAAGAAAAAGCATACAAATTAGAAACAGAAGGACACAAGTCTTAATTAGGTTTGCTTATTTTTACCTGATACTAATATATGAGCCTTTTATGAAATATAAAACAGGCTTATTAACACAAGTAATTTATGTCCTTGGTATTTTGCATATATATGTGTGGATACACACACACATACTAAATGAGTTTTCTCTAAAAAGATATCCAAAATAAGTCTATTGATATCTATGGCATATTTTCTTTATGTAACTTACATATAATTCTAGAACTTTAGTAAGTAGATTTTAAACTATCTCCAACTCTGATTTTATACAAGAAATCTGAGGCATAGAATAATCAGGTACAGATGCAATATTATCAAATCATATATGACAAATTGGTACCATATTGTGAAAACATATGATGCTGAATCATGAAAATCACATGAGAAATACCCCCACAGTCATTCACTGAGTTGAGTCTTTTGAAAATTCCTGGAAAAGGTCTTTCCTCATATGAGTTACTTCTTATTCCTCTGACTGGAACCACCATTATCATCATCATTAAAATATGATAAGGAGTACACAGTGAGGAGAAAATCTTTATAGCACTTTTATACATTTTCATAGCAGTCCTAATATGTTAATGCACTTATCCCTAAGTTTAGCATGAGTGAGAGATTGTCTTATAGTCACATTAAGAATGCAAAGTGCCTGAATAAAAGCTTGATCTCTGGAGCCTAACCAAGAGATTGTGTATTAGCGCTACCAAGAAACACCTCCCCTAACATAAAATTCATGATAATGGATCTTACTGCCTATGAAGAGAAAATGGAAAGTTCATGAAGTTGTTGGTATACTGCTATAGTGTGTTGAGGGGAAGGGGTGCTCTGGGGTGTGAGTTTTTATGTGTGTGTGAGAGATTATCTAGCTAAGCTATCTGTCAACTATCTACCTATCGATCTGTATGTCTGTCTGTCTACCTATGTATATATCATCTATGGGAAAAGGTGGAGATAACTAAGACTTACTCTCTCAGAGGATTTTCTTTTATTCCCCTTATTTTTTGTAGGAGGAATGAATGTTCCTAATCCTTTATTTATCTTTATGAGCAAGATAATTCTTAAACTTTCTAGTTATTTAATGAAACACAAAAGTACATGATAGTTCCATAAGTATAAATTTAGAAACTGCCCTTCTTGACACTTTTAAGATTTGTTCTACAGTTCTGAAAAGTATGGATGATTTCATTGCATTTTTTACTCCAAACACTGATTAAACTTACAATGAAAAAGTAGTGAGTGATACTTGTTATTTGATTTTTGAGCTTAAGGATGAATATAGTCCTAAATACATCATAAGAAATAGATATACCTGACAGAATTTATATTGGAATATGCTAAGCTTGCTATACTGTATGCATTATTAATAGAGTGTCCAAATACATAATGGGCTTTTTCCTCACAGTTACTGAAACAGGATCTTAAGCAAGTCATTAAAACAAGAAACAATATTTACAGGAAACCAATATAGTTGAGGAGACAACATTACCTATATAAAGTATAGTTTAAGTAAATAAACACCAATAATAACTCATTTCCCAGGACAAAAAGAAATCATGTAAAATATACTGCTTTTATAAAACTGGAACTTCCATCTTAAAAGTTTTCAAAGTGAGTTTTTTCTTCTAGAAAAATAATTTATCTTTCATGTATTTTCTCTACCAAAGCAGTTTACTGTAATAATTCAATTGCTAGAAATATATATGAAAAATACACACATCTTTGTGTTATAAAAGCTTTCCAATAAATATACCTGAACTTCAGGAAATTTTATACTTTACTGTAATGGTAATTAAATTATAGATAAGAAAACTTACAGGTCAAATTATAAATTAATATTATATGTCTATATCCTCCTATATTTGCTTAAATATTTGCATCTATATCTCTGTCTCCACTTATATTTTGGTGTTCCCGTATTTATAGGTAAAGTGTGTGTATAAACATGTGTCTGTATATTCTCTCTCTGTGCATATATCTATATATATGTACATCTGAAACTAGGGTTAAATAACATTACCTTTTACCTAAACAGGTATATATTATAATTACTTAAATGTTCAAGAAGACTTGTTATCATTGAGACCCTACCTTACAATGAAAATTCTATCTGAAATATGTGAAAAAAAAAGCAAATCCCTAACTATAAAAATTATTTTGTTCATTGAAATATGGTTTTA